CTGCTTTCTGTCGTTCTGATTCATGAATGATGAATGCGATTGGTGACGTTCTGACTGTTTCTCTGTTTGTTCGCAGTCAGCACGGCACCTGAACTCAAACAGGTCAGTGAAGGAAACCAAAATTCTCACACAGAGACATCTGTTTTACTGAAGAAAGCGGACAAATGACCGCCATCTTCAACACATCAAAATGTAGTTTGCTGTATAGTTGTACATATTACATACAAGAACATACAGTTCTGATCTGTAGATATTTGTGATGCGCATTAGTTGAACTGTAAGAAACATGTGAAATCCAATTTTTACAAAACGGAACCAAGCCACATTAGACAGTGAATTTTGATAATTAAGAGAGCATGTCATGTGATCCGCAGTGTTATTATTATAGAGTGACCAGCGGCGTTTAGGATCTGTTGTAGCTGTGCTGGATAGTGACTCCACCGGCCGTTCATCTGCTGAAGTACGAGAGACAGAGTGCATAAAGCCTCCAGCGTGTTTGTCTGAGTTGTCTCCTGTGGTTTGGCGCCTCCTGCAGGTGGGGAAGATCTCCAAAAATAAAAAGAAGAAGCTGAAGAAGAAGCAGAAGCGGCAGGCGGAGCTGCTGGAGAGACGCATGCTGGAGATCGAAGCTCTGGAGCGAGAGGCGGAGAAGCAGAGAGCCGGCGGAGCGTCGGACGCCGCACACGGTCCCAGCTTGGCTCTGGCGGACAGCGAGGAAGATGAAGAGGATGATGAGGATGCAGATGAGGACGAGGAGGCCGAGGTAGAGAAGGAGCGGCCCGTCAGACTCACCAACCACACATGTGAGTTCAGTCCAGACGTCATCTTTTGTAAAAAAGAGGTGTAGATGATAGCAATGGATGGCATCGTTGTCATTCTGATGTCTTTAATATAGTAATCCCTTGGTTTTAGGAATGTAAACAAATCCTGGTTCCCTAGACCAAACATCTCCATTTAATCTGGGAAACGTCTCATTTCTCCTGTGTGAGTGATCATGTATGTCTCTGTAGCTTCCTTGTCAGACCCTTGTTTAAATGTTTGATAATTTGTTCCTAAAGCAGGATCATGAATGCTGCTCTGTCTCCAGTGTTCAGCGTTTGAAGTAACGCTTTCTGTTCACATTGTTGGCCAAGGATTTCTCCTTTTTTTCCTGAAGATGACATTTTATACAGCCAAATGTGCAGTGCTTAATGAGTGTGATGGACAATGGTGTGACTGAAGATCGCTCAGTTACTATATAGCACTAGTTTCTAATGGATAAACTGCTGGAGATGATCATATGATCAGATTCTCTGGTCAGGACTCCAGCTGCTGCATTTTAAACCAGTTGAAGATGGTCTGATTTTCTATGATTGCATTAGACTCCAGTGAGTCTTTTGTTGATGAATCAGATCTTTCTTGTAACTCTTTGGAGAGGTTTGTCTCCTCTTATGAGCAAAAGCATCATATTCCATTAGTTTGTTCAGAAGATCTCTTCATTTTGCTGTCAAGCTGTTCTTTATTTGACTTTTTTTTAATCTTTATTTCGTAAGACGGTTTGTTGTGATGGTGTTTTCAGAAGGTCCCAGAAACTCTCTGAACTGACAGAACATCAGCTTTCTTTTTCTATTTTTGAAGTTCTTTGCAATGATGAAGACAACATAAAGTTTGTTTTTGAGTTGATGGCTGTCTAAAATATTTCCTCATAGAAATGTCTCTGTCTCTCAGGTGCGGAGCCTGATCAGGATCAGCAGGAAATAGAGGAGAACGAGGAAGGCTGTGATGTCCGTCCCACCGCCGACTGTCCCACTCCCACTGAAGAAGAGTCACATGCGTGCGCACACTCTCCATCTGAGCGACAGGACGCTCCTGAGAACGAGTGTGAAAACTCAAAAGAGCAGCAAGAGCAGGATGGAAATGAAGACGTGAGAGAGGAAGAGGACGATAAAGAGGAGGAAGAGGAGACGGAAGCCACACCCTCACAGAGCACCGAGGACGAGCCGAAGACACACGAGTGTCCGAACGAGGAAGAAGCAGATCCACCGAAAGTGACGATAGAGAAACAAGAAGATGAGGAGGAGGAGGAGGAGGAGGAGGATGAATACGAAGATGAAGAATATGAGGAGGAGGAGGAGGAGGCAGATGATGAAGGCCAGGAACATTCCAGGAAGGACCACAATGACGCCTCTAAAACGAACGGTCACGTGATCATGTGTGCGCAGGAGCGTCTGTCGCCCAGCGTGCCGCTGTCCTCGCCTCTCCTCTGCCCTCTGGTGGAGTCGGAGATCAGCACGACTGACCGCGACGCTTCCGATGCCTCGTACGAGCTTCACAATGGAGAAACCGGACTGACGAACGGAGCGCGGCACCGTGGCACCACGCCACGCTTCCCCGAGCTTCCTCTGGATCCCAAACCGGACGACTGTGAGCACGACGAGGCCCAGGCGCTCAGCGGCAACACTGACCGCAGCCGAACAGTGTCGTCATCCAGCACCGGAGACACGCCGAAAGGTCAAACATGCGCATGCACTTCATATGTGCACACATGACTACTGTTTAATGTGAGCAGGTTAATAAGCTCTCTGTCTGTCTCTCCGTCTGTCCTTCTCTCTCTCTGTCCATCCGTCTGTCTCTATGTCTGTCTCTCCGTCTGTCTGTCCATCTGTCTGTCTCTCCGTCTGTCCTTCTCTCTCTCTGTCCATCCGTCTGTCTCTATGTCTGTCTCTCCGTCTGTCTGTCCATCTGTCTGTCTCTCCGTCTGTCCTTCTCTCTCTGTCCATCCATCTGTCTCTATGTCTGTCTCTCCATCTGTTTGTCTGTCTCTGTCTGTCTGTCGTTCTCTCTTCTGTCTTTCTTTCTGTCTGTCTCTCTGTCCATCTGTCTCTCTGTCTGTTTGTCTGTCCATCTGTCTCTCTGCTGTTTGTCTGTCTCTCTGCAGCGAGGGTCAGTGCGGCTGATCTGCTGGTGAATCCCCTGGATCCGAGGAACGCAGACGTTCTGAGAGTCAAAATCGCTGATCTGGGCAATGCATGCTGGGTGGTAAGACATCCTACAAAACACTTGGACTGTCCATATGATTGTAAATACCTGTGTAAGGTTGGACGTGAGCTGTGTAATCAATGCACTTCCAGCACAAACACTTTACGGAGGACATCCAGACGCGGCAGTACCGCTCCATCGAGGTGCTGATCGGAGCGGGATACAGCACACCCGCTGATATATGGAGCACGGCCTGCATGGTGAGCATCTGACCGGCCGACACGCGTCTGCCGCAACTGCCTTTATGTCTGTGATTGCGTTTGATCTGTCTGTCATCCGCAGGCGTTTGAGTTGGCCACTGGTGACTATCTGTTTGAGCCGCACTCTGGTGAAGACTACTCTCGTGATGAAGGTACCTGTCCGCTTTTACGCTTCCTGTCGGATGCTCAGAATGGCATAGTGCTCATAACTGCACACTTTAAAGCCACTGTCTTCAACACGTTTCCCATGACTCTTGTTTTCTACAAACAAGCAGCTTTGTTGTGACTAGGCCTAGGTTTAGTCAGACAATATCACGATTGATTTTACATCTCTACACATTCACTGCTCTGGAATCCATGAACGGGACTGACTGATATAAGACTGGATTCAGTGGCATCAGAGGCTTACGAGACGCACGTGACTCACCGTGACGCTCCTTTAACAAGAGGATCTCTGATTCTGTGACCAGTGTGATTTTTAACAATATCTTGACTCATTTTATTTTTTTAAATTAGATTAAAATGACAAAATATTTACCGAACAGTCCATTAATCGTTATCTTAAATAACAAGCCTGATGTGAAGGAAAGACCAGCTGACTGGACATGATCCCACTAATCACACAACTACTTAACAAATTCATCAGTAAATGGACATGAGATATTGATTTATGTGGAAGAAGAGAAAGTAGCACTGAGAGAACAATCAGAATCAAGTGTTACACAGAGCCGGTGAGCCACTGTTACTTCATTGTTTTTCAGACACTTTCTGAACCACACATGCAATATGATGACGTCATGTTTAAAACCAACACGTGTGCAGTGCGCTGATATGCCATTCTGAACACATCCACTTCTGTCATTCGCTCTGATCTCCGTTAATCTTGATTCTGTCCTTCACTGTCACTCAAGATGTCGTTTATAGCTCAGCGTAACTGTTAGCATTCTGATGTCGGAACGTGTTTAGTGTGTTTTTAGCTGATACTAAACTTCAGCTTTCTCCCTTCTGATCCCTTCATCCGTATTTTCCCATCACGCTTCCCTCTTCCCTTCCTCTTCCTCTTCCTCTCTCTCTCCCGTAGATCATATAGCTCACATCATAGAGCTTCTTGGCTGCATTCCTCGACACTTTGCTCTTTCTGGAAAATATTCCCGGGAATTCTTCAACCGGAGAGGTAGTGTTAGAGACAGAGGGAGGACGGACGAGAGCACTGCCACACACACACACACACACACACACACACACACCACAAGACTGCAGCTTTATGGCTTGATGTTAGAGGGGTCATGAAATGCATTTTTACTTCTTTACATTATGGATTCTGGAGGTCAGTTGGCACAGTTTTTTTCTCCAATTTTCAGTATATATGAAAATGATTATTTTTCAGCCTCATTTTCTCCATTTCATTGGGCATCACCACTGTCAGAAACGTCAGCAGTCGTCAAAAGACTGGGCGCTGCTGTAGCTTTCAGTACAAGATATTGAGAAAACAAACAAAAACATTCTTGTTCATTTGCACGAGGTTCAAAATAAACTTCAGTCACACATTTCTAATAGTTTGATCTGTTAGAAGGATAAGCTCAGTTTTTAGAGGTGCAGTTTGCATTGGCATGAAACTTGCTGCATGTTTTTATTGTAGAATAACACTTTATGTGCAAATATCAAGGGAATTTTGATTTTCCATTTCATGACCCCTTTAATGACGGTCGGTCCTGCAGGTGTCTGATCTGAATCGGGCTGGTTTCAGACCTGTGTGTGTGTGAGCGTCCGTCCTCCTGCACCACTGCATGAATAACTTGTGTTGTGTTGTGTTGTGTGTGTGTTTGTGTGTGTGTGTGTGTTCGGGGGTCAGACCACATCGCTCTGATTATGGAGTTACTGGGAAAAATCCCCCACAAGATCATCGCAGCCAGAAAATACAGCTGTGAGTTCTTCTCAAAGAAAGGTAACGCTGACAGTCTGACTTCCGGCTCTGCTGTTCAGGAGCGTTTCATCCACTCCACTGAGCTTGTAATTCACTTTGTCAATGGTTCTGCTCCGAGATCTTTTTTCCTTCCGTTCTGTTGCCAGATACAATATGAAATTCCAACACCGGGATTGGCCAATGCAGATCACTCAAATATATAGCTCGAGCCGTTTTTACCACGAGTATCGGCACAAAATCTGTCACAATCACTTAAACACAGAAACACGACTGATATCATCCAGTCACAATGCCATGTGTGGGCGGGTCTGCCCATGCTGGAGATGGTGCCGGAGAAACGGGCCTCCGCCTCAGAATGCCTCAACCACCCCTGGCTGAACTCGTAGCACTTTGGTCCCTCAGACTCCTCAACCCCTGCGGCCCCGTCCTGAACTGCAGCCCACCGTCTTTAGAGAGGAAGAACCAGAGAGAGGAGGCTGTCAGGGGCGAGGGTGGGCTTCAGCGCACACACACACACACGGGAGAAACAAGATGTCTTCATCTCTCATCTGAGAGACGAAGCTTCATTCACCGTCTTCCTCAACAGAACTGACACATTTTACAGGCTGAAAACAGAACATGAGATCGTTTCACATTATGCCTTCAGCCAAACTCTCGTGAATGCCCTAGTAAAACAAGCATTTATAAGCTCACACAGAGATTAATATATTATGTGAGCAATCAGTCTATGATATACTGATTCGTCTCGATGACTGCGACTATCACTGACACAGCTTGTGTGTTTTGTGTGAGCAACACGAACTGCTAGTTGATGTTTCTGTCAAGAAGCCCACCTGAGTCCCTGAAGCCCCGCCTCTTTCACCCCACCATCCAATCAGGTTCTGCAATGGAGCTGTTTACAAACCTCATCTCTCTCTCTCTTACACACACACACTGCCCTGGGAAATATGAATCTAGAAGACAAAGAGACGCTTTGGTTTGTGGAGAGCAAACGGATGGACGTTCGCGCCGTTGACTGTTCCCCGTCTGGTTTAATGTTTTTATTTGAAGCTTCGATTCTCGATTCCGACGACAACATTCCTGATTCTCCAGCGGTGCGATGCGCTCGCTTACTCCTTCTCTGCACTTTCTCCGGCAGGACGGGCGTCTCGCTCCGGGGCTTTAGTTTAATGAGGCTGCACTTGTGTTCGTACTTTTTGTTCAGGGAAACTTACCGATGTACAGAGATCCAGCAAACTGTCCAAAAACTCGCAACTGCTTGAGCGCAAGATAAACACACACTGCTGTTAGGAGACGGTTGTCATGGTGACGTGCACTGGATGGTCGTCATGGAGATGTGCTGCAGCTGTTTCTGTGGCCTCACGCTGCTCGAAATCCATCATCATAACCATAACCCTAACACAGTTAGTCCAGTTGCCTATTTTCGCAATAAAAGTAGATGGTGAAATATTTTTAAAAAATATTTAAATTCATTTAAAAAGAAAAGCAGTTCTCTGATGTTGTGACAGTGACAGAGTTTAGTCGTAATAAGGTGATTGTGTTTCGTCTATTTTCAGATGTTTTATTTCCTTTGTTTTGGTTTTTTATTCGGTTGTCACTTCCTTAATGGCATTGACTCGTGCTGCTCTATGAAGACTCATGTGACAGTCATGAATTTTATTGAACATTTTTGCAATAATAGTGATTATGATGATGAATTTTTGCACAGGAAGCTCCTGATGTGTCTCACGCAGCCACGCTGACTGTTCTTCCCAACGTCGACAATTGCGTCCTTGTTTTTCATCAACAGATTTAATAAAATTGTAAATTAATGGATTGCATTGCCTAAACATTTCCACCCTTCTTGTTCTGGTCTTGCATGTGAGTTTCATTTATTATGAGCTGTGTTCCAGCTCTCTGTCAGTTAGTTAGTCAGTACAAAGACTACAGAATACCCAAGACATGTCACTGGTATAGTTTTGAATGGGGAAAAATGCAACGCTCAATATGGCCGCTCTATCAAAGGAAGCAAAAGAGCCAGTCGCTAATTAGTAAAGTCAGCGCGTCACTGCAGCTGCGGTTAGAAGTCATAGACTGTATAAAAACATGGATGTAGTGTTCGTGACGTCACCTGTAGGATTCTGAAACGCGTTTTTGAAGCTCAAAGTGGGCGGAGCCGGCCGTCGCCATCTTGGCAGCGCGTCACTCCCGGATAATCGAAAATGGGCAAAGAGGCAGGTGCTGGTTGCTGAAACCACGCCCACCTAGCTCGCCGGTGGTGACAGCAGCGGCAATCCACCTGTTACTGAAGTGGCCACGCCCTTAATTATGCTGAACTTTAAGGCTTAATATAATTTAAACGGATGAGTTATAAAAAAA